TACTGGGCTAGTGTAGCTCACTCCTTAATTAACCATTTCAGATCAGGAAGACATGGTTCCCGAGCCCGTTCCGCAGGAGGACGACGAAGGGGATGCCTAGAGACTCTGTAGTCATACGCATAGTTTTATTTTCGAGTTTCTTTCTTAGTTAGTTAATCTTTTATATTTTAAGTACGTTTTTTTGGTTTTTCGTGTAAGGGATGTTAACTGAAATTTTGATCTCGCTTCCGCATTCGATATATTTAAATACTCATTTCTTTTTAATATTTTCGGGGTCGTTACATATTATATTATGATAACAGAGTGATATAGATTCATTAATTATCAACATCAATAAGATCGAAAAAATACTCATAAAAATTTAGACTCCAAAAAGAGAAGATAAAAACTCACGACTTAACTTAAATTGAACAAATACATACATATAAGAGTAAGATTATCAAAATAAGATATTAATATCCAATCTTTATTGATGTGAGCATGGATGACTTAAACTTTTCAAAAAACCATTCAAGCCTAAAAAACCATAGTTTGGGCAGGTCGAAGATAGCTTATAGTGGCTAAGCTTGTCCAAAGAAAGGCTTAAACACATCATATAATGAACTTGGGCCACATGGAAGAAGTATCTTAAAGATAAAAGGACTAAATATAAGAACATGAACCAATAAATTCAATGAAGACTTTAAAGTCTATATTGAAGGATGAATCTATGAAGAAGAGAGACTTAGCCCAAAAGTAGAAGCCTATAAGAGGATGAGAACAAGCTCATTCAGCGCGGAGGGCAGTAAAGAAAATTCATCTTACTCTAAGTAGAAGAAGGAACCATGGGAATTAGGAAGGAAAATATTCCCATGCGTGAAGAACCTACCCAACCCGAGAAGGATTCTTTCCCAAGTGGGAATTTTCCTTTTTTTTTTCATGATCATTTTAAAACTGTAATCACAAGAGAGAATCGACAATCAATTTTATGATCTTCTTGAATCATTCACAATCTTTCAATAAAAGAAGAAACTAAATCTCAAACTTTTAAAAAAATATCCGTAATTAATAAAGATCTCCACCATTTAAGAGGTTTTCACAAAGGGATGACATATCTAACTATTATGGTCATAATTTTTCTATTTGTAATTTTATTCATATTCTAGTTTTTATTTGATTTCTTACGTAATTTGTTATAATTAATTTATAAGATTTATTTTTTTTGTATTTCACATGAACTACAACTATAAATAAACATTCAATTCATAATAGTAATTCAGTGTAAACAATAAAATTATAAAGTTTATTTTCAATAAGTGATGCGTTTTTCATCATTTTCGTTGACCAAGGAATTTTTTTTACTTATCAAGGTACTCTTATGACGTTTTTTCAATTCTTTTATTTTTCTATGTACTTTAGTTTCTTTTATTTATTTAGAATTTAAGTCTTTGATGTTATTTGAGAATTATGTGAGTTTTAAATTATATTGTTAATTCTAAATTTTGTATCATTTCATATTAGAGTTTAGACTCGATGTAAACCTTACTATTCTTTCATTTTTTATCCTTACACCTTTATTATTATCCAGTGTAAAAAAAAAAAAAGGAACCAAGTAAGAAATAAACCGAATTGGTTTTCCCTTGTTTGTTACATTAAGTTATTATTTTATATCTTTGCATCCATCATAAAAAAAAAAAAATACAAACAAAAGTAACATATATATTGTCTTTATTCGACTATAGGGTTCTTTATTTCATGATGCTTTTATTCCATTACATCGTTAAGTAACTAATTACATTCTAACTACTTAACTTATACACAAACATACACATTTTTTCATTCGTGTATTTCTTTTTATCATATAGATTCGTTTATCACTTTCTTCAATTAGGATTCTTTGAAGTATAATAAATAAAACTTGATTATCTTAATTCAAATGATTTCAATTCTGACATTAAACTTGAAGGGAAAAGGTTAAGAGGTAAAAGACATTGAGTGAAATACAAATAGTAAAATATGTTAGAGAGTGTTATTTTATTTACTAATTTTTATTGTAGGTTTCTCACGATGTCATTGCCTAGCAGACAAACCAATATGAAGTCTTTTATGGAAGAGTTCCTACAAAAGTTTATAAAGACTCATAATTCAGTAGGGGCCAAAGACGA